CCATGCCAGGACCTTTCGAATACTACTTTTTGCGTGTTAAATTCTCTCCCCTCAGATTCTTCTGGGAGTTAGGATAGGGCCGTTAATGGGGACCTAGGGGAAGCAGAGTCCCAACCGTCTTCTTCAAGTATTTGTCTCTTGATGGGGCATCCAAGAAATGCAGAAAGAGGAAACAGTAGGAGTGGATGTGAACACTTCTCATCCTTCAGGACTCAACTCCCTCAAAGAGGTTTTCCTCACTATCTCAACTAAAGCAGCACCCCAGACTCTACCTCGTTACTTGAATTTTCTCTTCTTCACAGGACTTACAAGTACTTGAAATTAGTTTATTGACTCGTTTACATGTTCACCATATGTCTACACTCCCGCTCTCTGACACCCCTCAGCACACACCAGCATGTAGGGTCAGTTACTCAATTCTGTTCACTGCTGGACCCCAAGTGCGTGCGCTACCAAGGGCTGGAGTAATGAGTAAGCTGAAACCAAATGATGTGTAGGAGCTAAGAAGGTAAAAGGAGAAGGAAGAGCACCCCAGAAAAAGTGAACAACATGTATAAAGATTCTGCATCACCAGAGATTGTGACCAACTTGCAGGAGAGACAGAAGGCATATGGCCTTACGCTGGGAGGGCAGAGGCTGAGTGCAAGGGTGGCCGACCTGTGCAGGACCACATGGATCACATTAAGCAATGCTGTCTGCATCTTTAAAAAATGCCTTATTGATTTTGAAGCAGAGAAGCAGGGGGTGATGTGATCAAATTTGATTTTGAGATGATCACCTTTGCTGAGGTGTAGGGAATATCAAAATACTGGCAATCTGGTAGCAAGCTACATCTGTGGTCAAGGGATCACAGATACAGGTTTGGGAGACTTGAGCAGATGGAAAGAATTGGAAAAGTTTAAAATATGTTAAGGAGAAAAAAAACAAATAGTAATTTGCTGATGGTGGGAATGTGAGCGATAAAAGAGAAAAGTACAAAGGATGATTCCTACAGCACTGACTTCAGAAAACCGGAGTGTAGGTCATGCCATTCACAGGGATGGAACACACTAGAAGAGGACTGAGTGTAGAAGGTAGCAATGTCATGAGTCCAGTTTTGAGAAAGTCGGCATAAAGTGTGTTTGAGATATTCCAGTAGTGGAGATGTCAAGGACATAGTCACATATATGGATCTACAGCTAGGAAGAGATTTGTCATCTGTGTAAAGCCATGAGCATGGGTGAGATTATCCGGAGAAAACAATGCCAAGTGGACAGGAAAAAAGCACACAGCCAAGGCTTGTGGAACTCCAAATATTGGTATCTGAACAAAGGAGAATAAGCTGGTAAAGAAAACAGAGAAGCAGTAGCCAGAGAAGTAAGACTAAAATCGGGAGAGTGGTGTCTCTATTTAAAAGGAAAGCCTAGTTTGGGGTCTTAGAATAAAAAGATCAGTTCTCTATTGAAGATAAGGAAGCATAGCTAAATTATTGCTACAGTGCTTCTGCTATAGTTGAAAGCCTCCAGGTATGATATAAAATATAGGTCCTGTCTGATCAATACAAATGCCAACCTTGGACAGAAGACAAGGGAGGTAACAAAAGGAGAACTACTCGTGAGTTGCTGAACAAGAAGGATCATAGCTCCCTCCCTCACAAACAATGGAGAAAAAACTATAGGGACATGAGGATTCACAGGAAACAAGTAATTCTGCCCACCACCCCCTGCCTCCCCACACCAGTGGAAACTCAACCAAGTGCTCCCAGCAGTAAGCTTATGGAACAACAGAAGCCCCACAAGGGCAAGGATCTGAGGAAAACAGATAAAAACAACTGTCTTGGCGGAGCCTCTCTCTTCCCTACCCATCTCTTCCAAACCCCCATGTCTGGTGGATTGCAACCTGACCTCCTAACGCTGCCGGGCGGCAGGGCTGAGGGTGAAACCCTGACCTGAAGCGTTGTTCGGTATAATGAGAAGTGATTGATTGTGGTTTTCTGGAGCCTTGGGCTCCCCATCCTCAGCTCATCCCTAGGCCACGTGCTGCTCTAGACTTTGAGCTGACAAGACTGGGGCCTGGCCTCTAGCCTTTCTCTGCTTATTTGCTGCGTAAGCAGCGTAGGTGCTTTCAGGGGAACTCCAGCTTGCAAGCCAAAATAATGAGACATCTGCATAGCACAACTATGACAACAGAAACACAACAAAGTGATTTACAGATTGCAATGTAGCTGTGGTCTTAGAACAAACAGACCAAGAATTTAAAATAAACACAAGAAACATTATAAAAGAGATACAGCAAATCTATGTAATAGTATAAAGAAGATATAGCAATCCTAAACTATGAACCTGATAAAGTACTCTCAAAATATATAAGGCAAAAATTTAGAGGACTAAAGAAAGAAAGAAATAATTCTACCAACATAGTGGGTAATTTTAACACACCCTTCTCAATTATTCATAGATCAATCAGGAAAATCAAGAAAGATACAGAAGATGTGAACAAAGCAATTAACAAACTTAACCTAACAGTCACATAGAACAGTGGTCTTCAACCTTTTTGGCACCAGCGACGGGTTGCATGGAAGACAATTTTTCTACAGACCAGGGTGGGAGGGATGGTTTTGGGATGATTTGAGTGCACATTACATTGTGCAGTCAAACCTCTCAGCTAATGAGAATCTGTATTTGCAGCTGTTCCCCGGCGCTAGCATCACTGTCTCAGCTCCACCTCAGATCAGCAGGCAGTAGATTCTTCTAAGGAGCGGGCAACCTAGATCCCTCACATGCACAGTTATTTGGTTTGTGCTCCTGTGAGAATCAAATTCTGCCCTTCATCTGACAGGAGGTGGAGCTTCTGCGGTGATGCGAGTGATGGGGAGCAGCTCCGCTCATCTCGCTTGCTTGCCAGCTGCTCACCTTCTGCAGCGTGGCCTGGTTTCTAACAGGCCACAGACCAGTACTGGTCCATGGCCCAGGAGTGGGGGACTGCAGTCCCAGAGAATGAATTTAAGATAACCAAAATAACCAGAGAAGCATCTGGATAAGAACTAATGGTAAACATTAAACATATATAGTTACTTGTAGACCTGTGAAATTCAGCAAAATTTAAAAGGGAGATGATATAAAATGTAATATCTATGTGCTCTGACAATGAAGATATAATACGACTATTTTTAAATAGGGAAGGGGTTCAAAATTTTAAAAATTTCAGAATAGAGAGAAAGTAAAAGAGGAGAATATATGCGAAACACATTTTAAACTATTTTCAGAAATTGTTTTAGTGGTTGTAGTACAAAAAACATGCAAGAAGTATGCATAAGAAAACTTTATGAAAAGACATTTACAAAAGCCTAAATAAATATAAAAAGATACTATGTCCATGCATGGGAAGATTTAGTAACATAAAGATGTTGATCTCCTCAAATTGCATTTATAGATTGAGTGCAAATCCAATGAAAATCCCAACAGGGCTTTTCATAGAATTTGACAAATAAATTCGCAGATTTACATAGAAAAGTATAGCACCAAGAATAGTGAGGATATGTCTGAAAAAGAACAGGGAGGAGGACTTATCCTACCTGATATCAAGACTCACCTGAAACTTTTTAAATCAAGTTAGTGTGATATTAGTGCAGGAACGGACAAACTGCCAATGGAATTAAGAGTCTAGAACTCATTACACTTTCATAATAGTGAAAGAACCGAAATGTCAAATCAGTAGGGAAAGAAGAGCTCATCGATAGACATGGAACAATGGTTACTGATCAGAAAAATTCAATGTCATATCCCTACCTCACTTAATATAATTAATCTCAGATGGATCTGGGATTTAATTGTCTTTTTAAAAGACTTAAATATTCTTAGTAGAAAATTACAGGAGACTATCCTGATCTTGGGGTGGGAAATCCTTTCTTTAAAACATTTTGGTATAATTGTCTATATTAAAATTAAGAACTTTTGTTTATCAACAGACATATAAAAAAAGTGTGTTACAAACCAGGAGAAGACATTAGCAGTATAGATAGAAATCAACAACAAAGAGTAAGTATCGAGAATATTTAAATAATTCCCACCAAAAAAAAAAAAAGCATAAGCAATCCATAGCATGAACAAGCTTTTCATAAAAGAGAAAACTGGTGTGTCTAAAACATAGGAAGAGATTCAACCTCAGGGATATGCAGATCAAGACCATCCTGTCATACCATTTTAAAGCCATTTAATTGGCAAAAATGAAAAGTGTGCCAATACCAATTTGGAGAGTATCAGAATCCATTGGATGGGAGTATAAATGATACAACCACTTTGGAAAATAATTGGACCATATCTCATAAGTTGAACAGTCACATATTCTATGTCCCCACCAATTCCATTCTTAGGTATATACTCAAGAAAAACAGCTGTAGATATGTACTGCACACTTGTACCCAAATGCTCTGTATCCAAGAGCAAAAACCTTGATACAACGTGAAAATCCATCAAAGGAGATGTACAAATAAATTATTGAATATTTATACAATGAAATACTATACAGCAGTAAAAACAAATGGACTAGAGAAACACTCAACTATGGGCAAATCTTAGCAATTTAATATTATACAAAAATAATTACTAAATTATTACATTCAGCTTGATGTCCTTTACATTCATTAAAACTAAAGAAAATAAAATATATTTTTAGAGTTACATAAGCAATGAGAACACACACACACAATTTAAAGTGATAATTATCTTGGTGGAAGGAGCAGGGTGGGAGGGTTGTGGGATGAGACATGAAACAAGCTATCATCAGAGTCCTAGTTTTGAAGTTGGGCAGTGAGCTCATTGGTGCTGTGCTTATGGCATTATCAAGACCAGCAATAGTGGACGCAGGAATCCATGAGAAGTGTGGCATGAACAACAGGTATAAATTCTAATTTTCACTTAGGCAGTGAATTAGTAAAGATCTATTATACATTTACTCGAGCACAGTCTGTCAAACAAAGACATGTCAGTGGCCACCGTGGGCTGCGACACCTCTTGTCTCACCTCGATGAGTCAGGTTAAAAAGGAGATTGACACTTCTCTTCCTTAAGTAATTTTCAGTTATGAGTGTGAAGTTATATATTTCTTGGGAGTCTTGAGTTATTTGCCAGTTGCACCGGTTTTTCTCTTCACAATGTTTCTTTTTTCCAGAAAATCTTAAAAAACAAAATAATTATAGGGCTTACACTTTTGTCAAAGAAGATGTATCCCTTATCCCTTGGTGACTTTTAAACTATGTTCCACATAATGGCATTGATCCCTCACCAACAAATACTAATAAGGAAAATACTGTTTCAACAAATTTGATATATGTGGCTGAATGTGTTAATGAATCACTGACTCCTCCTCATGGGTGGGGAGAACATCCCTTAATTTCCTTGGAATATTCTTAAAAAGTGAGAAATCAGGTAGATCTAGATCATCAGATGGGATTATTTTCATATCAAGATATACCATTAACTGTCTTATTTTTATGATAAATATTCTTTTTTTTAAAAACCTCAGGTAGAAAATGTTATACACTGTGACCACTTGAAGATTTCTTCTTGACCTTGGCAGGTGTTTTCAAAATATTTGTTCAAATTTCCTGCAACATGGAAATGTAGTTTTTGTGATGTTGTCACAAGCACCTTAAATAAGGAAGACTCTGGCAATAATCCAACCAGAGCTCACTTACGATTCAAATAAAGTGTAGCTTTGGGAAGGTTGTTTAGACCAAGCCAAGGCAGTGTCTGTCCCGGGATCCCAAGTACAGCTCAAAGTCTTGAAGTCCCTGGTTTCACAAGAAAAGTCCTTGGGCTCCTCAAGTACTTCTGTCCATACAAAGACAAAAACAGACAAAAGGCCGAGTTAAAGTCTCTTTATGGAAAGACAAGTCCAATGGAAAGCTCTGTTTGGGCTCTGAAGCACAGAGTTATCTGAATGACAAAGTGAGGTGAAAGCCTACACATCGATAGCCCCTGAAAGCCAGTTTTCGTCATCGTGGCCCCTTCTCCTTCCTTCCTTGTTGGTTTCCTGGGATACCATGGGGGGATGGGTGTTCAGTGGTGTGCAAGTGGTTGACACTGTGCATTTGGCAAAGGCTGTAACGCCAGTGCCTGCAGGCGCTGTGGCTTACACAAAGCCTGGGGATGTGAAAAGTCAGATTCTGGGAGGCTGCTTAAACTCGACAGCCTAGACCTGAGTATTCCAAGGAATGGCGAAGCACTCCTAAGTTCCCGGAGTCACCACTATTCTTAGTGATCACACTAAGGGGCATAGATGAACGAGCATCCGGGAGATTGGAAACCTCCTTTGGCAGGGGAAGCAGGGAGGGAGAGGTCACAGGGATTGCCCTACTGTGCAGGAAAGGGGAACCTCGAGACAAAACACAGGAGGTCCCTGGTGTGTGCACACAGACTTACATAAAACTGAAAATGTCCCCACTCCACTGATGTATCCAATGGAGCCATACAGTTAAACACAGTAACGGGCTCTATTTGCTGATTTCCTTTTGTATCGGGGCTGAATGGGGCCCTCTTCATTAACCTTCACAGTCACCATCATCATCCCCATGTCACAGAGGGGGAAACTGGCTCAGAGAGGCTGAGAAACTTGGCCAAAATGACACACCCAGCCCGGGAAGGAAGATTCAAACCCAGGACTTCCGGGCCACAACCCTGGCTGACTTTCTGTGGTGGTCCGACCTGCAGCCCCCTCGCTCCCTCTGTGATCCTGTGGAAATTCCAGCAGGGCTGAGGCAAAGCAGGATATTTTCCCAGCAGCCCAGGCCATGACCTGAACTCTCTCTCCTTTAACACTTCCAGTCTCTAGGAATACACTTGTCAGTAAGGCCAAGGAAAAGACAGGAAATCCTGGAAGTACTGCTTCAGGATATCACTTCCGCCTCTCCTAGAAGACTCGGGAAACAAAAGAAATTGAAGACCATGAGTAGAAATGTTTCCTTGTCTTCTAGTAAAGGAGAGTCAATCTATTCCTCAGGAATTGAGGAGAGCGGGCCACAGAGAATTTGCATACTTACTTGAGACAAAGAGAACGGTGCCATCGCTTATGGCATTTCTCTGGTTCTCCTCACAGTAGATATTTGTCCCTCTTTTCCTAATGAAAGGAACATTTTTCAACTCGAATGTGGATACATGAGCATCAAGTTGTTCTCCGTGAATCTGTTCACCTTCCAAATAACAGGATATGTTATTTTGAATGTTTCCAGAAATGTAACAAATGGTGACGTTGGAGCCTTCTTCTACTAGCTTATCTTTAGGGAAAACAAACAGTGCATCCTGTCCAAGAAAATCTTGTACTGCAAGACAAAAAATAAATAAAGGAAAAAAAAAAGGAAAGAAAAAACAGCTCAGTTAGAATCTCACTCAAAATATAAGCCAGCGCCCTTCCACCTCACTCTCAGCAGATAAACGTTAGCTTTTTCTACCTCCGGGAGAAAATAACAACCTAAATTTCTCCACCAAACCTCTACCGTTTGGTGCATGTATGATAGTCCCTCCCTCCGTTACTCCTACAGTTTCGCTAATCCCACTGCTGTTGCTGTTACTGCCCCTGCTAAAGAGAGCACCAGCATTGTGACCATGCAGATTATTGCAGATTATCGGGCGAATGCTACTGTTAAGCTATTGCAACAGCAGTAGCTGTTCTCTGCAGAGTCCCAGCTGCAAGGAAGTCCCTGTGTTAAGTGCTTATGTGCATTCTGTCATGTCATTACTACCTTACAACAACAAAGGTAGAACTGAGCCCAAGTTCACTCAGCTATTAACAACAGTAAGTGGCAAAGCCACATTCCGACTGGCCAGGTCTACCCAGCTTCAAATCCGCGTGTCCCTTGTAATTGTACTGGAGATCACATCTCTTCCCACCTTCTCAGAAATGCCGGTCACTCAAATATCATGTCCTTTTGCTTCAGACTCTCCTTCTGCAGGGCCTGATGGCATATTAAAATCCTCAGGGCTGTCCCTCTTTAAGGAAACTCACCAATTTCCCACGGCTCCCTCCTGCCATCCTCTCTGGTCTCCCCTCCACAGTCCCCTGAAGGAGCTGCCTGTTACTGGGGAGGATTCAACAATCCTGCTCACTCCTCAGCTGGCTGCAGTCTGTCACTGGCCCACTGGATGACCATGTGGCCTGGCATGGGGGCATGGATTTTGTTTTTAAAATCATCAGATGATTCTACCGTGGAACCACGGTTGAGAATCCGTGCTTTGGGGGTTGGGAATAATCAGGTTCTTCCTTTATTCTTAAATTAGTTTTGAGGTTATAGTTTTGAGAAATGTAGTCTATTTTATTAAAACTGTTTATAATGTGGTTCTTTTCCTTCTCTTACTATCTCTTTGATCTCTCTCTCTCTGTCTTTTATTTTTCCTGTACATGCATGTGTCCCTCTTTCGTGGTAGGACGTAATAGTTAAGCACATGGCCTCTGGAGCCAGACTGCCCAGGCTGGAATTCCGGCTCCACCACCTAGTGGTTTGATGACAGTACATGGGTCCTTTAATCTCTCGGTGGCTCAGATTCCTCATCCGTGAAGTGAGAGTAGCAATGATGCATATTTCACAGGCTGAGGTGAGTACTAAATTCATATGTACTGTACTTAAAACAGTGACTAGAATGCAAATTTAATCCTACTATTATTATCTCATTATTATTGTTAGTTTAATTGGCACATAAGAAACTGTGACAAAACCCACTCTAAATTTTAATTACAACAAAATTATCAAAATTAAGGGATATTTAAAATATATTTATCCATCATCTTCATCACTTAAATGGAGCACAGCTTTCATTTTTTCATATTTCCCCCTTCTCTCTAGATTAGCGATGATCCAATTCAAGCCCACCATCTGTTTTTGTAGATACAGTTTTATCAACAGGGCACTCGCATTCCCGTACACATTATCTATGGCTGCTTTCATGCTATGGTGGCGAAGCTGAATAGTCACAACAGAGACTGTGTGGTCTGAAAAGCCTAAACTATCTCCTATCTGGCCCTTTACAGAAAAAGTTTCCCAAGCACCACTGTAGATGCATACACATTTTGTGTTGTTCTAATAAAAACATACATGTACTATATATTCTACTTTGATCACTTAGCATTCTATTAATACACACACTGTACATGTTTGAAAAAAAAATATGAAACTGAATTTGCACAATTGTCTTAATGAGTAAGTTCAGAAGCAAAACTTCCGACGTCTATCCCCCAGTGGCAAGTTTCATACCTCTGGTTTATAGTTCCAGTAGGGGCCAAGGGAAAATTATGTCAGTGTCTACCCAGCGTTCCTCAAAGGGGATTTCCACTATTTGACATTTGATCCCTGGTACTATAAAATATTAAACCTTTTCACTCTTGTGACCACCTCATTTCTTACCATGGACCGCCTGCCAAGAACTCCAGCTGCTCCAGAAATTCAGCTCAGGGAACTTGGCATCATCCACCACACTCCTTATTCTTACAAAGTGTGCCGCGCATTCCAAAGGAAGCTTGGATTCCCAGCTCCAATGCACAGTTTCATTCCACTTCACAGTGGTGCTGTAATTCCCCTAAAAGTAAAGGGGAAAAAAATTGGAGACATATAGCCACCCTGTCCTGGAGAAGAGCTTGACTGGACTTATCCCAAAGCACAAACCTAAGACCCCACTGTACATCCACAATATGCATAAGGGAAGTCCATTCCTACCCAGTCAACTCCCCTTGCTCTGAGGGCTCAGCAATGAGCCAGCTACAACCTCCTGCCTTCTGAAGCTCAGTGACCACCCCCATGGCTCTTCGAGTCAAGGGGGCTCATGTGGAGCAACTAGGAGAGAAAGCAGAAGTCCTGGGGGGACAGATTAGAGACAGAAAGTATTCACAGTACTGGTCACAGAGAACCTGCTAAGAAAATTCTTGAAAACTAGAGAATTCATTGAGTCATCCTTTAAAAAAAAGATTGATGGATATTTTTCTAATATTTATTTTTAGCCAGGTTTGGAGCAGGTTGGCCAAAGCCCAGTAGAGAGGGTAGTCCTTTTATGGCACCCTGAGAGTTCCGTTGTCTCCCAGAAGTCAATAGATGGCTCTCCATGTTTCCCTTGGTTTTCTGTCTCTGTCTTTTCAGATATGGTGGCCACATGGACCACACCCCCTCCCTCAAGCTCCATCTGTCAGAATCTTAGGCCCTAAAGATGTCAATCACACAGAATGCCGGGACTGTTCTCTGGGAAGCTTGCCCAAGTTGAACTGTAATTTGGTCTTTTGGCAAAGTCTGTAACCTTAATCTTTCTGAGACACTGGCATTTCCATTGTCTAATTCAATAGGCTTCAATGCCTGCTTTCCACGTTACCCTGTCATGCAAGGCCATCTATAAACTGGCTCCGACCTACCAGACCCTTGCAGGAATCCTCTCTTTGGACATAGAGTCTACCCCACACTTCTGGAATATGCCTTATGCTCCTACACCTCAGTGTTTGCTTATGCAGTGTTCCTGGTTTGGTGTCCCCCACTCCCCTCTGCATTGGGATCTGTCCCATCCTTCAAGCCCAGGTCATATTCCATCTCCTTCCTGAAGATTTTCTTGTTCTTTCCTCTGAATTCCTCCCATACCCACACCCCCTTGAAGCCCTGCTGTATCCTGTAGTTAGTTGCTGGTATTTCATCTGTGACTCGAGCACGGCCCTAGAGAGAGCAGGGACTGTGCTTCCTTCTTCTTCATGTCCCCCTAGCTCCAGGCTCTCATTCTCCGTGTGCTTCCTTCAGGAGTCCTGCCTTCTGCTCCCACAGCTGCAAGGTAGAAACAACAAACACCTTGCACTTCCTGGAGGAAACTGAGTCTGACTCTGCACCCCTGTTTCTAAGGGCAAATGATGATTCCTCAGTGACGGGGAGGGGAACACTTGACTGTCATACACTGCCTGCAGTTAGCAGCTTGGAGGCTTTCTTCCACTTACGCCTGTGCTGCCCAGGTCGCTAACCCATGGCAGAACTAGACACAGCCTGGGGCTGAGAACACCCTAGTCCACCCAGGTGGCATTTAATTGTGCGCCTCCTTTTTCACTCTAGGCAGAACTGTAATTTTTGAAATACTTTATTTCAGTTTATGGCATTACTTTATTCCTAGGTCACAAAACATATTTTTAAAACTACAAATTGTGAAGTCCTGATCCATGAAATTTTCACTATTTAACACGAGCAATTTCAAATACATTTTGCTTAAATAATTTTTTACTTTAAGACTGAATACTGCCTTCTCCCTCCCCAAAAGAATCTATATATCAGTAATAGTCACAGACTGAATTTTCCCCATATCTCCCTCAAATGCAGCAACTTCTGCCCTGCGCCCCCTGTCTGCCCTGGTTGGACCCCACAGCTCACTTCTTACAGGACACATTTCACCTTCCCCAATTCCGCCGCCGCTTTGTTACTGTGCAGCTGAGTGGGTTTTTAAAAAACTTCAAATCAGATCTTGCCACGTCTCTTGTTCTTACCCGCTCCCTGTAGTCTTGTGTGGCCTGGCCTGTGCCCACCCCACCTCCCACCCCCGTCCCCACGTGCTCAGGGCTCTAGCACGGCAGGGTACTTTCCAGCCTGGAAGCCCCCCAGTCCCTCTCTCAGGGGTGCACACCTGCTGGTCTTCCCAGAGCACTATCCTCCACCCATCCTCCTTCCACTCCTTGATATTTCGGCTCAAACAGTCCTTTGTCCAAATTGTGGGAGAAGGTCAGGCCTAACTCCCATCCCAGAACACCTTGTCAGTGACCTGCACACACACCCTGTATTTAGAACACCCTATTGTGTGTGCATTTCCTCATTCTTCTAGTGTGCTCAGCGCTGATATCGCTGCTCCTTGCACAATGCCTGCCCTTGGCCCAGTCTAAAACCCTGTGCTGAAGGATTTGATCACTTCCGTAGCAGGCGATGGGGTGGATTTCCCCCACACACTATTTGTGTGGATCCTGTCTAACCTCAACTTGTGCTTTGTAGTCTTTACAGCCTTGTTAATGAAGGAGATAAAACTTTCCTTGAATACATCAATTCAGCGATATTTTAAAAATGGGATGAATTGTCTTTGGGCCATTTTCATTCATGGAAGCAGCAAGTTTAATTTTGTCCTTGCAGTGATTAGTAAGGCACAATAAATTGACACACACATTTACACAGAGGCCCGACTGAGGTCACTGATTTGTCACTGAGGCATGAGCTCTATCCCTGAATTGACACACATTCCCAGCTTCCTTCCAAGATTGAGCTGGTACTCCACTCTGTCTCCCGCTGGCGTTGACAAAATCATAAATCAAGTGGCTGTAAGGAAAGGGCAGAACCTTGGCCCAGAGAAGGGCCATGTAGCGCAGCTGCTGGGAGAACTCTGAATGGCCAGCGCCGTTCAGGAAACGGCTCAGTGCCCCTGGCCCAGCTGCAAGCACCTAGGTCAAGATTCTTTGCCTTTGGCTTGTTTGGGAACACAGTGATCTGAGAGACTAAAAATGGCCCCTCACCACGTAGCGAGGGTGCCCTCTCAGGCTTGCATTTCAGGGAGCTGCCCTACGAAAGGGAGATTTGGGTCCAGACACAAGCGGGACTCTCCTCCTTAACTGGAGGAAGATCTTATGTCTCTCGTTGACTTCGGGCATGAGAGATTGAGACAAGGGCTTCTCATGGCATCACATGTTCCATGGGACATGTGCCCACTCATGGCCTGGAGGGTTGCATGTGACTGTCATCCCTGTCTGGGTATGTGGTGAAGGGTGACATCACCCTGCCTCTGTCACCTGGAGTAGCACAAAAAACCTCTCTGCACCATGGTTTTTTCCTCTGTGGTAGTCAGGCTGGGCTGGGCCTTGTGAGGACAATACAATGGACAGGCAAAACTCTACCCTTCATGGTCCCGAGCCCCGGTAAGTCACAGAAGTAGGCTACAGATGCTGCTTTGTCTTGCAAAGAGGACTGTTACGTGAATCAAATGTGAAAACAGATATGAGCAACTGCTTTGTAGAAAAATAAAGAATGGGATCCATTTGGTCTACGATTAATGTTACTTTTGCTAATGGTGCAAAGTGCTAGTTTTCCACAAATTTCCCTTCAAATTTCTTTTTCTTGGACAATTCTTAGCATCAATATGACCTCCGTGTAATGTTTTACTGGGCCCAAATCATCAACCACTGTATCCACTAGAAATATAAGAGTCAGACTTACTAGAATGAGGCGGGAAGATATGCTGCTATTGGGACGTGAACAGCCACACATAAGCATTGCTATTGCTGAAAATCAGCACACTTTCCAGCTCTCACTGTGGGAAACTGCCCTTTGAGGGGTAGAACTATACAGACCTGGTGTCAATCCTAAATGGATAGAGTCAAAATTTTATTTAACTTAAGCCACTTGCTCAGATCTCAAATGCAATAATGATTGTAGAAAGTAACTGAAGACTTTACAATGAGTGAACTTTAGGCGAATTCTCAGGTCCCTTTAGTGAGAAAACATTCTACTGTCCTTAAACATTCCACAATGATGACTAAACATTATGTGTGTCTGGATTATTAATTAAGGTTCTCCAGACCAGCAACGACAATCAAAAGACACCACCAATGTGTCTCAATGCACTGGATTGGGTAGGCAACAGGGGAAACAGACACAATCATTATTTGAACCAAGATAAGTGAAAAGTCTACCCCAAATAATTTAAAGACAAAAAGAGTACAAAATTAAAGATTTTCTTAATTTTAATTTACTGTAGAAAAGCCACATGTGTGGCAACAAATGACCCAGTAAGTTACCCTCCCACATGGCCCATTGCTGGCTGGAACACAAAGCGCTAGGATGTATGCTCTCTTGCATCTCGGCACACGTCAGCAAATAAACTGGCAGGAAGCCACATTGGCAAGAAAAATGTGCCAAATTATTCCTCTTATTTAGGAAAATCTCTGGTAAACAGGGAAGAAAGAGGGAAGAAGAATGAGATGGCTGATCTCCATCGATCTCTGCAATCCAGTAGTCACAGGAAGGACCTCAAAGCCCTCTTAAGGGACAGAGCAAAACTGAGAAAATAATCTCTTTTCCTAGCGCATCCCATCCCACCTACCAAACCCAGGTTGTCATGTTACTTTGTCTTGGATCCTCTTATCTGAAAACACAGAAATGCAATTGTTTAGAGAAACTGTTTTGAGCAGCTAATGTGTTTCCATAATGAGATTTTTTGGATGTTATAAAAGACAAATCATGGTGTCAGAAGAGAATTCTTAAAATATTGATAAAAAAAAATACTTACCACCCAGATGACATTGGATGTTTCAGTTCTACTGATCTGTATCTGAAATACCATTTTAAATTCCTTATTGTAAGGAAGGTTGTGGACAGTCCATTGTAAATGCAAACATTGCTGTATAGAATTGACGGAAACTTTAAGTGCTTCAGGAGTCAATGGTAAATGTTCAGCCAAGACTGAAAAGACCAAAACAAGCTATGAAATAACATTTAACAGGAGTGTGATTGATAGTCACGGATAATTAAACTGTTCAATATCATCATTGTTTAGCTTTGGAAAATATTGTTCATATGTGCATCCTTGAATCAGACACCTTGAAAAGCTGGAAGGGAAATTAGAAATCACTTAGCAGATATAGAAATTAAGACCTAGATGAATAAAATGTCTTGCTCAACAATACACAGCATGTTCATAAATTGAAAAAGAGTTAAACAAAATTAGAGGATCCTTTATTAGACAATCTAACCGGTTTGGAAATTTATAACAAGGCTAAAAAAGACAGGACTTTTGCTATAAATTTCATATTTCTGGAAATCAAAAATGAAAGTTTTATTTTGCAAGTCAATATTTTATAGTTTATTAAAAGGATATAAAGTAGGAGCACATCCTATCTCTAGACAGGATCACTTAGATCTCAATCTGAAATTAAAACACCTCTAGCAAGAATTTACTGAACTCTTGGAATGAGATTAACAACATACTAGGCACTGGTGTGAAACAAAATAATTGTGACAAGGTTCCTAGTAAAAGAAGGAACCTAGTTGGAGAGACATGGTGGACTCCCATGAAATAATTAGAGATCACAAGTATGGTGTGGTTAGTGGTGTGATGGACTCTGTGACAGAATGGGGATTCAAATATTAAACAGATTGCTGAGGTCAGTGGCCTTGGGAAGCAATCTGGTATCTCCTAGGCTGTCTTTAAACCATCAGTGGCATCAGTGGCATCACTGCCAACGACCTGCACACAGATATATCTGTCACTTGAGAGAGGATGGCCCTGACTGAGTTAAGTCATTGTTGAGACTTAGAAAACAACACATCATGACTTTCCAGTTAAGAGGAGGAAAATACCATGTACATTTGAAAGATACTGCATATTGCTGATTTAACAAAACTATTCCAATTGTTGGATTGAGGGGGTCTGAAGTAAACTGGGAATGGTACAAAGGTATTGAAAAGATAAAGACCATATTTTTAAAATCTGATGACCCATGGTATAACAGATACCATCTTTAAAGCATTTCTTTTTCTAATTCCATGGGGATTTCCCTTAGTCATCCGAAACACTCTGACACTAAGTTTAAAAGGCAAGAGAGTATCTCCCTTTGACAACAAAAGGTAGAAGCAATCTCAATACTGAAAAAAATGTCTCCAAATTTCCATACTGCACATGCTGCTCTTCTCAAAATAGTAAAAATAACAACAATGATACTGAGCATGTGCTATTTACCAGGCACAGTGCCAGGTACTGTCTCATGTGATACCTACTATAGAACTGTTAGTAATTTCTTATAGATGAGGAAACTGAAGCTCAGCGAGGACAAACAACTTACACAAAGCTATGTGGAACTTAAATAGAGATATCCCTAATACCCATACCTGTGCCCCACTTTACAGCACTGTCTTCCAACTGCTAAGACAGGAGCACTGGCCCCGTCTAACGTCTCATGGACTGGAATGTTTGAGAAATACTGCACAGCTCCAACAGTGTCCTGCCACACTCAGGACACAGACATCAGGACGGGGCTCTGGATGGAGCCCGAGGAGCTAAGGAGCAGCCCTCGTGGATATGAGACAAGCGTGAAGTCCTTCATGTGGTTGGTCCACATGGTAGGAGGCTTCAGATCCAAATAAGGCATTACCCTCAGAATTTGGAGAAAAACCCTCAGAAAACTCATTCTAGGGAAGTGAGATTATCAAGAATGCCCATAAAAGGAAAGTCATTAGCCATCAACAGCCACCTTTCCAGAAAGATACCCATCCCCTGTGACATTTTGTAAATGCAATGCTGGGGGGGGGGGGCCCTAGGGTGATAGCTAAAATCTCAGTGTGGATTCTTTGACCTTGGATTTGGCAAAGCGTCCTTAGAGATGACACCAAAAATATGAGCAACAAAAGAAAAAACAGATAAATTGAACTTCGTCAAAATTTTAAAATGTTATGCATCGAAGGACATTATCAAGAAAGTGAAGAGACAACCTATAGATATGAGAAAATATTTGTAAATCACATATCTGATAAGGTTCTTGTATCTAGACCATAAAAAGAACTCTTAAAAATCAGCAGCAAAAAGACAAACGACTCAATTTAAAAATAGGCAAAGGACTTCAATGAACATTTCTCCAAAGAAGATATACAAATGGCCAACAAGCCCATGAAAAGATGTTCAACATCATTAGTCATTGAGGAAATGCAAGTCAAAACCACAATGAGATACCATTTCATACCCATGAGGAGGGCTATAATAATGTAAAAAAAATGGGAGTAACAGGTGTTAGTGAGGATGTGCAGAACTTGCAACCCTGACACACTGCTGGTGGGACTCTAGAAGGGCTCGTATTGTGGAAAAAATTTTGGCAGTTCTTCGAGAAGTTAAAATACAATTAGCATATGACCCAGCAATTCTATACCTAGGTATCCAAAGAACTGAAAGCAGGGATTCAAATAAATTCTTGTCCACGAATGTTTGAAGCAGCATTATTCACAACAGCCAAAAGGTGGAAACAACTCAACTGTCCATCAGTAGATGACGAGACAAGCAAATTGTGGTGTATACGTATGAAGGAATATTACTCGGCTGTAAGAAGTGGGACACTGAAACAGGATACAAATTGGATGAACCTTGAAAACATTATGCTAAGTGAAAGAAGCCAAAAAAAAGGATCCGTAATGTATGATTCCATTTCTATGAAATACCCAGAATAGGTAAGTCCATAGATACAGAGAGCAGATTGGAAGTTGTCAGGGGCTGGGAGAGAAGGAAATAAAGATTAACTGCTTAATGTAGTTTCCTTTTGAGGTGATGAAAATGCTTGGGAACTAGATAAAGGTGGTGGTTGCGCAACATTGTGAATGTACTAAATGTCACCGGTTTGCTCACTTTGACCACAAAATGGTTAATTTTATATTACGTAAATTTCACCTCAATAAAAAAATGTTACATATATATGATCATGATAAAAATGTTCAGGCAACACAGAAATTGAGCTCCCACAATCCTATCAACTCCAGTTTCACTCCATTATCAAGTTTAAATCATATATGCTTTTCTTGAATTTTTGAGTATGCACCCAATTTTATGTTTTTTAAAGTACATGTTATTTTTCTGAAAACCTGTAAAAGGGAAATAAAACTAAAATGTTAACTGTCATTATTTCTGGATGGTGGGGTTGAGTGATTTTAATTTTCTTCTTTATACTTTTCTGTATTTTATAAATGTTCTTCAGAAACATGAGTTAGTGTCAGAATCACATCCTAACTTGTATTTTAAAAGAATTACTTCTTCAAGATATCTGGTTCGCTCCACTATAATGATACTTCAGAGAGTGTAATTCCTCCACAGCATTTCTAAGCCCTTTTTTGGAGCAATGATTGCAGCTTGCTGTAAAAATCTGTTTCTGTGTTTGTCTCCCTGTGGACTGTGAGCCAAATAAGGCTGCAACAAAGTCTTACTCAGCGCAAGGAAACCAAGACTAAGAACATGCCAGTTGCAGGACAAGATATTCAGTGACTGGTTGCTGAATGAATGAGTCAACTACCAGTCTAAACTTTATTTCTGGAAGCTTGAGAGAGCTACCATATGTTGCTTTAGACAAAAAAGGAACTCCTTACATTAACATAAATTGTCAGTGAGTGTTGAATGACTCAGGTGTTCAAATGACATCACTCAGAAATAATCTGGTCAAAAGCAATCTAGGACTTCCTTGGGCAAGAGTGGAAAATGCCAAGGTAAAGTCAGAAAGATGAAAGGCACCATAAAGATTGTGAAGTCCAGTCCTATTATTTTTCAGATGAGGAAGCCGAGATTAATAAAAGGGAAATGACCCTGCCACAAGCACGCAGCCAGAGCCGAGCCCAGGGCTCCTGCTCTCCTTTCACAGCGCTGGAGTGTGGCCAAGAAGGTCAGGTTTGGGAATCAGACTCTCTTCCCACTTTCCCCACCCTATTTCCCAGACCGTCCCTAACGCTGATGGAAGAAATAAACCATGGTCCATTAATAGATGGGATACCATGCAGCAATTAAATATAATGTTGTTTCTAGAAACACAATATCAAAGAAAAACATTCATTATATGTTGCACTAATTGTTTTAAGTAACCAAAGAAACACCTGAGTGCATATACAGTATAATTTAACTTTTATTTAAAAACACATTACTCAGGCCGGGCGCGGTGGCTCACGCCTGTAATCCTAGCATTCTGGGAGGCCTAGGCGGGCAGATCGTTTGAGCTCAGGAGTTCGAGACCAGCCTGAGCAAGAGCGAGACCCCGTCTCTACTAAAAAATAGAAAGAAATTATCTGGACAACTAAAAGTATATAGAAAAAATTAGCCAGGCATGGTGGTGCATGCCTGTAGTCCCAGCAACTGGGGAGGCTGAGGCAGTAGGATCGCTTGAGCCCAGGAGTGTGAGATTGCTGTGAGCTAGACTAACGCCACGGCACTCACTCTAGCCCGGGCAATAGAGTGAGACTTTGTCTCAGAAAAAAAAAAAAAATAAAAAAAATAAAAACACATTACTCATTTACATCTCTATCTTTGTATTTACATACACAGAAAAAGGTGAGGAAAGTATGTCGAAATGCTGCAGTCATGATCTCTGGCTGATGGAAGTATGTGCCCAGGGTTAACTGAAGAGAGTATTGGCTCTGTCTCCCTGGTCAGGAGAAATCACTCTAGGTTACTTGACATAGATACCCATATCTGAACCTTGCTCGGGGGACTGAGTGGTAAGACAATTCTTCAATAGTCTGAGTGGGAGTTTAGTGAGTATGTGGTCAAATGCAGCAGAAATCAAGACAAGAAATCCAAACAGTACAGGTGAGGACAAAGACAGGACTATTTACCAAAAAGGCATGCTTGGCAGAGACAGCTGGAAGCAGAGATGAAGACTGGTTGAGAGAAAAACTGAGAAATGCAAGTCTGACCTAAACAAAGGAAGCTGAGAGGGCAAGCAGA